TTTTTAAAATATAATTTTAAATAAATTTTTAAGCCTTTCCAGTGTAAACATAATATAGGGGGAAACAAGAGGTGCTGAACGACTAACATCATAGAATATTAAAAAAATCTCAGTTCTGGAAAAACATTATGTTTGTTTAATTTCTACATTGGTTTAAAAGCAAAAGCAATTGAGATGAAAAGAAAGAAGAGGATGAACCTCTGCAGAATAAATCTCAGGTATACAAAAGTGAATATGTTTTCTCTTCCCAAGAAAAAGAGAGCCTGGCTTCTTTATCCTTGGTGTGGCTGCAAGGAAGAACATAGTTTTGCCTTTTGAAGTACAAAACATTTCTGAAAAATGCTTAAATCCCAGGGGAATGTATGAGAGGTAACACCTAACCCCCCTGATCCTACCGGTAGGGCTGACACCTGAGCCTGCTCAGAAAATGCTTGCCAAAAATCCTGCCCTGCTTCTGCATTTAGTCATCCTGAAGCACTGAGCGAAGCACTTAGATGAGGCCTTGATTTCAGGTCTGAAATGTATGGCAACTTATTCATCATTTAGGTACAGGTGATTGGTCTGTTCTTTAAAAATATCTGTAATACTTAGAGGAAGTAACCTCTTGTATTGTGGCTGAGAGATTAGAGCTCACACGCAGAACCAGGAGTCCTGGGCTCAGCGTCCTCCTCAACCTCTTTCACCCCTCAAGGGGTGCCTTCCTCACCAGGATGCCTGGGCTATACCCCAAGGCCCAGGCCGTGGCACGCAACGGTGTTGCACATGACCGTGATTATTTTGATACAAAGATCCCCTTTAGACAGCACGGCCCCAGCCTCGGATTCCCAACCTCAGAGCAGCTTCTGAATTTTGTGTTAGGGAGCAGCTGGAAGGGAGCAGGGCTGGAAGCCTCCCAGGGCAGCTCTTCTCTGAAAGGGAACTGAGTCATGCTCCCTTTCTGTTTGCTATCTCTGTAGCCCTATGAATTGTGCATTTCTTTCCATACAGTGGCACAGCTTCAGCGAGACTCCCACCACAGTTTTGCTTTGAGTGTGGTTGCTAGGAGATGGCAGCTCTGAGTTCAGGTCCCCTCTTCACCATAGCTAGCAAAGACCTTGCATCCCAAATTTTCCGCCTCTTCACTGTGTTTCGCAACAAGAAGCCAGTACTCTGTCTCCCACGTCTTGGCGATGTGCTCTGACACATGAGCTGGTACGCACCAAGGTGCACCAAGCGCCCTTGCTGTGCCCTCTGGCCAGGCTCTGCTTGCTGTGCTCTGCTAGAAGCTCACTGCATCAGCTCTGCAATAAACTCACTGTTAGGTTTTCAGTGCACTGACTAGAGGGGCTCCAGAGGACATGTAAATTGAGGAACAGCAAATTTGTGGGTGCCAGACAGTCAGGATAAAGAGACAGGCGCTGAGATACTCTGCTCAGCTATAGGAGTTAGTCCCCTTTCCACTGCACCCCTTGAACACAGTCCAGTCCTTGATAAATTTGCAGAAGATCCTTTACTGATCTTTGTGAGAATAAAATGAGGCTCTGAGTAAGCCTATGGCAGGAAGTATCATCTAGTTTTAGACATAAGGACCCAGAACATCTCAGCCTTGAGAGTGTTAAAGATTTGGATGATGATTTAAGCTTTGTTGCCAAGATAGAACTTTACTGTATAGCTTATGAATATTTTCTCATAGAAAATAATACATTTTCTTTTGTAAGAGACAGCAATGACCTTTGGAGATGAAAGGTAAATGATATTAAAGTTGAATTCCTGGCAAAAATACATTGCAATTTTGGCCCTTTGTTTAAGCCTATTATTACTTAAGAAAATGCACAGGAGACCAGTTTGGCCAACTCTCTGAAAAATGCAAAGCTTTGCCTCAGCTCATATTAGTGCCCAAGAGGCTTCATTCTGATTGTTTATGGAATTAATTATCCAATGGTTCAGTGTTCTGTATTAAATATTAAATTTTCTGTTAATAATATATATTCCTTCTCCTGAGTCATCTCAGTTGCACCCAAGCCTCTTTAACCAATAAATGTCTACAAGACAGGGATATCTTTATCTCAGAAAAATTGGTAGCATCTTATTTGAGAGGTGGAACCTACGACTGCTCCTAATGCAAGCAGGGAAGCTGCTTCACAACCCTTTTTGCTTCAACACAGAGACTGGACACTGTTTGAACTATTCGACTACTCTGTGCCGGTATATACATTCTTATTTTTAAGTAAACATTGTCAAAAGGTTTGAGATATTTTATTACATTCTTAATAAGTTTAGTATATTTAGCAACCATAAAAGGGTTGTGCAGAAGAGAGGCATAAAACTGACAAAATCTTACACAAAGAGGACAAAATGCTAACATCATTTTTCAGTTAACTACTCAGAAAAGGTCTGCTAACATTCTCACCTCTATTTTTTTAAATGCTGTTCTTCCATAGATCCATTTTATTTGAAATCACTGAAATATATTTTCATCAGATAAGAGTGTAAAATCAGGCCCATAAAAAAAGTCTACAAGTTAAAAGAAACAAAGAAAAAGTTCAAATACATTTGCAGACTAAATCAGAAATTCTGGCACTCAGGTCCCTGTGATGGGCTGAGCAGTCACACACTGATAGTTTTCCTTGTTTCCAACTATGAAACCACATTAAATCTTCTCTTAATGTTTTTCTTATTTTCACCTGTGTCTACTAAAGTTGCCACAGGGGCATTCTGTGATGGTGAGTGGAGCTGAGGTGCTCTAAGCAGTAGGTACAGTAAGTGCAGATGGGGAAAAATACACTTTCACGTGAAACATGATCTCCTTGAGGGAAAAATTGGAGGGCCGTTGTGCTAAATCCTCTTAAATATTATGCAAGCATCTAAGAGGCACACAGGAAGCATGGAGGGGAACTGATGGTGTACAAACAGTCACCGCTCATACACAGGTAGCAAATGCTTTCAAGTCTCATTTGCAGAGGCATCCTTACCACTTGGTCCTTCTGTGGATGGACACTCAGCCCTCTGCGGATGTAGGAAATGCTGTTTTATTCCATTCCTCTATTCCTTCTATAATTTCTGAGGCTGATACATTAAAAGAAGTAGTTGGTGCATTCTGTATTGGTTTGTCTTATCAAGAAAGATATGATTCTCTGGCTTGGAAGAGTCACTCCTGTACTCAGAAAGTAATGGCTTTTTTCTATCCTTTCCTACGCTGTTTCTGGACAGAGTTGAGTTTTGCAGGAGACTGTGAGGTCTTCAGGGTGAGGGGATGCATCTTCTCCTTTGAGAAACAGTATGATTGGCTTGTGGAGCACAAATAAATGAATATTCTCAGATTTGTAGGAAACCTGTATTCTTGCTTATTTCCATCGTTTCATTTCAGCTGATATTTAGTCAGTCACAAACATATCTGTGCTTATTTAACTTGTATTATACTTTTCTGAAAACAATAGATATGGAGTCTTAACAATGGAGAAGACCCTCCCGTGCAAGGTAAAATGCAACGATAATTCAAAACCTTTCCTTGTTTTTTCAGGACGAGGCTGCTCCAGCTGACAAACAGTACAAACAGGAGCCAGCCCAGGTCACTTACTCAACATCAGCTGTTTCCAGCACACAGGAGGTGTTGTACATCAATGGCAATGGGACCTACAGTTACCATAGTTACAGAGGGCTCGGAGGTGGGCTGCTAAATCTCAATGATGCTTCTAGCAGTGGTGAGTTTCCTTACAAAATGTGCCTGGGTGTATATGTGCTCATGCGTACGTTTCCCCCTGCTGTACAGAAAGCTAGTCCAAGGGGTTCAATATCCGTTGGCTATTATCAGATAACGAGCAGGAACACAATCCCACAAACAGCCACTGCTGAGCAAAATAGTTGCTCGCTGCATGCTAGTCTTCTTTCAGATTTTAGGGACTAATTCACAATAGGGCAAGACTGAACTGAAGTGTCTAACAAAGCTGACTACAAAAATGCCAGGTTAGATCTTCAGTCGATTTGCATGACTTTATGAGGACCTACCCTGTCATTATTGTCCTCTCCTACACTGATCACAAAATGAGGCCATTAGTATCTTTGTGGCTGGAGGTTGAAAACACTGAACTCCATATTTTGTAACACAAATGAATTGACCTAGATTTCTCACATGGTCTCTCTAGCTACTTTAATTTTTGCAGATAAGGATCTGGTATACCAAATGACAAATCAGCATATCCATCTAAACTAAAAATGGTGCAGGCAATTATGTGTCACCATGGGGTTGTATGCCCCTCTGAAACAAACAGTGGTGTCATTTGTTTAGACAACATTCCTTTCTTCTTACATTAGCAAGCGTTTGTAAGAAACAAATGTAAATGAACTGTATTATTTGTTTGAAATAGTCCCCCATATTGATTTCATACAAATTCAGAGCAAAGGACAAGGTTTGCCCATTCTGATAACAAGGGTATTATCTGCCTGTCAGAGGGAAGTGATTACTCTGGAAGCCTGAGGGTCTCTTGCCTCCAAGAAGGTATTTTAAAAATCTCTCAGAAGGCAGAGAAATCCCTGCGTTTTTATCCTGGCAGATACCTCTCTGGCTGAGGAGAGTGCTGCTTCAGGTACATGGGCTGACTGAGGCAAGATGGTAATTGTTCAGCTACAGCCTCTATATTCAACATGCTAAGTGATTTTCAAAACACTATCAGGGCTGCAGCCTGCAAGGAGTTATTGGTATGCGGTGTCCTGGTGACCTTCAGTCATGTCTGCTTCCTCACCCCCCACCCCCAAAATCCTCAAAGGTTTGTGAACAATTTGCATTAAGTTTTCAAAAAGCTTTAAAAGATAATATTTTAGTTGTCAAAAGTCTTTGACTTAAAGAGAGTGAACGATGATTACAATTGTTTCCATATGCATGAAAAACACATCTGAGGTACTGAATATGATCTCTGATCAAATATTTTCATAGGAGTAAGACAGGCTGTGGAAATCTGTTTTCTTGGGAAAATGCACAAGAACTTTAAAATTGTCTTTTACATTGTGACCAGAGAAGGTCTGAGCCAGTTCCCACTGAAACAGTTGGCATTTGCTCTTTCACCCAACTAAGAGTAAGATTAAACTCCCCATGTGTTATTTGTCAGCAGAAGCCATCGGAATTGTCCTGTTTTACATAAACTGTGAGGAATCACAACTGTTTTGTGTACTTGTTCTTCGCTTCAAACCTCATGTAACAGGATACATTTTCATAACTCCCATTTTTCAGTCAATTGTGGGATTTAGGTAAAAGTATTCTATGTCACTTCAGCATGCAATTTTTAAAAATGAGGTACAAATTCAACATGATAAATTAGTGTTGCTTTCTGATTAGAAGGAACATTTTCTTTGTACCTTTAATGTAGAGGACTCCAGTGTTTTTCCACAATTAAAGATCAAGGTGGGTTTTGCAGGACAAACAGTGATTACTCAGACACTGCCAGATGCTGCACAGCTAACGTAGCCAGGGAACCGTGCAGTGCACTGCATTTCCCTGTGTCACATCACTGGAGTGAATGGACCAGTGGATGCTTACAGTTTGCATACTGACATATGCCTAAA